TTATTTTTCATCATTATTTTGTATTCTATTTATTAATGTTTTTTACTCATAATTAAAAGTGGTGCAATCCGATTCAACGTTCGAACAAAATGAGAGCTTGAAGTAAATCTAGTTTATTTTATGAATTAAATTCGTTATGATCCAATGATTTTTTATGTGGTAATTTATTTTACGCAGATGTTGATTTATCATTTATGTTCATTTCGCTTTTTTAAACCATCGATGAGGGATTATTCTTTATGGATAAAAAATAATAGTTTTTCCGACGAAAGATTGCTAATATCGAGATTTCTTTTCAAATTAAAGAATTTTCTCTTATTAATTAATTTGAAGCAAACTAATTAAATTTCAATAAATAGATCGTACTTTAACTTTGTATTTGATTCAGGATTTCCACAATTACGACAATGTGTAAGCGAAAGAGTACTAATTTTGGGCACTGTGGGGGTGCTAATCCTTCCCTACGCGTAACCGACTCCTGAATCCGTTTCAATCGAATCGTTGGTAGACGCAGACCAATTTTTGTCTTAAAAATAATTTTTTCTTAAAATTGTTTTTAAAAAGATGTTTTTATGTGTTCGACCTACCTAACTCAAAGGTTGATGGCGGCTCTTTAATTCAAATTGATCAAAATCACCCATTTTCCAAAATTAAAAGTCGAAACTGTTTTTTAACAATTAAACGATTGTCCCCGCCGGAAAACGGTGACCACAATAGACAAGGAACCACGCAACTTTTACAACATTAAATAAACTATTAAATAAGTTCAACTTATTAACATTTATTGAAGTATAACATAATTAATATGTTGGTGTTAATATTTCAACACAGACATAGTATTCACGGTAAGATATTATTTATTTCAGAAACAAAGATAAATTCTTATTCGCTTTAAGTTATTTAATTCATATTCACTTTTGATTATTAATTTTAAAAATAACATTTTAATTATTTACATTATCTATTTATAACATTTTGATGATTGAAATGTAAGATAATATTAATTTTGATGACCCACATATTTGTAAAAGAAATTTATTTTAAATTTAAACAAAAAATTTTAAATAAAATTTTAATTTAATTATTAAATAAATTTTAAATAAAATACTAATTTAATTCTTAAATTTTAGATAAAGTAACAATTTAACATTTAAATTTTATATAAAATAATAATTTAATTTTAAAATCCAATCAAAATTTCTCTCAGTCGTTCACCATCATCGGTCACTGACGACCATTATTAGACCATGAATATCATAGCCTTAGATGCATGGATACATGCATAACACACACACACACATTACAAAAAAATTACAATGCATGTTTTGCAGAATCTGCAGCACCAGTTTCCACAGACTCTGTTTCGCTTATTGCATCTTTCAAAGCCTGAATGGTGGCTGGTTCAATATTAGGATCAATTGTTTCTCCTCCTCCTGGGAAAAGCTTCTCCTTCAGATCTTTAGGGTCCATCCTTCCTTCGTCTACCATCTTCGTCATGGCTTCAATGAATATTTTCAATAGAAATTCCTCCTCTTGTTGAGGTGAAGCTGATGCATCCAAATTTTCATTTGTATCTTTCACAAGGCCTTTGTTGGCGGCATCTTGGAGTCCTTCTGAAGTGTCTTTTTTAACAACCTCCTCTGTCACTTTTTTATCCTCATTCTTATTACCACCTTTGACCTCTTCTTTGGGAGTCTCTTCTTTGGATTGTCCTTCTATGAATTGTATTGAGAGAATAAGGGCCAATGAGAACACAACAAAAACAATCCTTGCCATCTCTTCTTTTCTTTAAGGTTAAGCTAAAACAATAAGAATTACTTGGAAAGTGATAATTAAAACTGAGATTGACCTGAAATTTAAAGAGTTTAAAATGAGATATTTACTGCGATTTTCAAGTTTATCAATTGATCTAATGCTTAATAGCCATACACGAGTAAGATGGAGATGACTTTTTTCTGAGAAATTTTCAGAAATTGCAATTTTATATCCGTAATTGGTCTAATGCTTAATAGCCATTTATTTTAATTTATGATTGTGCTTTTCTTTATTCAAAATAAATATTATAAACATTATATTTATTTTAGGCATTCATACTTTTTCTTTAAAAAGATAATTAGGCTTAATAAAAAAGTTTTATGAATTTTTTCTTTAAAGATAATTAGGCTATGAAATTTTCTCAAAAAAATTGTCTTTTGACCTACAAGTTCAACTTTTCCTACATAATTTTTCCAATATTATCTTATGATAATTTCTATAAAGATATCTTTTAAGGAAGATACTAATAATTAAAATAAATAAATTTGGTTGTATATTACTTAATTCTTGAATCCATTAAAGTTTCATAAAGCTTAAATATTGAACAAATAAATTACCAAATCAAATTGATCATACTAAAATTTATTTTATATGCTTTCAACTAAGTTTTCAAATTTATGTTGATTTACCTTAGTGATCTAATAATAAAACACTTGTTATTGTGTTTTGCTCCCCTTTAATAATAAATTATAATTTTTGATGTGCAAAAAAAGAGGATATATATTAATTATGAGGCTAATTATGAGATATACATCAATTTAGGTTGTGTAGAGAATTTGTGACAATATGAATTTCGATTCAACATTTGTACGTTGATCCGAGACATGAATAAATAACTGCATTTGAGTTCATTGGGTCAAATTAGGCTTAATTAAGTGAAAATTAGATCCAATTGAGTGTAAAAGGAGATTTTTTATTAGCAAATATTTGGAAGCAAGTTATGCATTCCATTTAATTTGTCTTGTTTAAACGTGGGAGAAAAAAGGTCAAAAATTGATGGCATGAGCTCATTCCCTTCTTCTCTATCTTTTCTTCATTTTTTCTCTCATCTTACTCTCAAAATGCTAGAGCGTGACCATAAAAGGAGCAATCGATCTTGTAACACCCTATATCCGATCTTCACATATTTTGTTTGTATCGTTAGGACGAGCATCGCTATTGTTACACCACGAATTTTTTAAAAAGAAATGTTAAAAGTTTTTTAAGCTTAACTTTTTTTTAAAGAATGTGAATGTCTAAAATAAATATAATGTGTATAACCATTATTTTGAAAACACGCACAATCATGAACTAAATAAAGAGAAATAAACTAAAATTTGCAATTAGGGAGAAAAATTACATTTTTTTTGGAAAAATCATTTATATTTTATTAGTATATGACTATTAAACACTAAACTATTCAACAAACCTTGAAATCACCGAAAATATCTCATCCTAAGCTGATTAGATTCCATCTCATTTTCAATCTTAACTACCAATTTTTAATAATTCTTATTGTTCTAGCTTAACCTTAAAGAAAAGAAAAGATGGCAAGAATTGCTTTTGTTGTGTGCTCATTGGCCCTGATTCTCTCAATGCAATTCGTGGAAGGAAAATCCGAAGAAAAGAAAAATGACAGTAAAGAAGAGGTCCAAACTGGTAATAAGGCTGAGGATAAAAAAGTGGTAGAGGATGAGACGAAAAAAGATATTTCAGAAGGGCTCCAAGATGCCGTCAATAAAGGCCTTGTGAAAGATACAAATGAAAATTTGGATGCATCATCTTCACCTCAACAAGAGGTAGAATTTCTGATGAAAATATTCTTTGAATCCATGACAAAGATGGCATACGAAGTAAGGATGGATCCTAAAGTTATGAAGGAGAAGCTTTTTCCAGGGGGAGGAGAAAAATATATCCTAAGATTAAACCAGCAATCATTGAAGCTTTGAAAGATGCATTGAACGAAATAGAAAAAGTTGAAGATGCATTACAGCAAAATAGTTGTACAGCGGCGTTAATAGCGGCGTTTTTATAGTAAATGGATCTAAGTCTAAACATATCGCGGCGTTTTTGACCCAAACGACACAAAATAGTAACATTAGCGACATTTTTATAAAAAACGCCACTAAAACCTTGTACTATAGCGGCTTTTTTAGACAAACGCCGCAATAGATTAAATACATAATGACGTTTGTATTAAAAATGCCGCGATATAATTGTACATTACTGGTGTTTGTGATAAAAAAAACGCCGCAAAAACACATGCATTAGTGGCGCTTTTTCCTCCCAATGCCGCGAATGGATAAATATTTCTCCCTGCCCGATCCCTATTTCTTTTGAACCTTTTCTCCCTTATCTTCCCTCTTCTACCCTAAATTTCTTCTCTGGTACAACATCTTCTCCGCCACACGCCATCCTTGTTGCCGTCAATCTTATCGACGCCGTATGTTGTCTCAAATCTATTATGAAACTGCACCGGCTAAATTAGGGCTCCATGTTTTTGTAGTTGTGAAAGAGAATTTGTTCAGAGACAGCTACAGAGATCAACCTTCTTCTTGACAATTGGAAATACCTTCTTGTCGGAATAATTTTTTAGGTTTTATTCCGTTTCAGATTTAACCCATACTCGTTTTTTCGATATGTTGCGTTTAAAAATTTTCAAAGTTAATTTCTTTCTGAAATAGTTTTCGCATTTGAAATAGTAAATGGTGAGTGGCAAAGCTCCCATCTTTCTTAAAAAACAGAGATGCTTGTTTTGATTTTTTATTTTTGGCAAGTAAAATCTGGCACACTGCTACTTGTTCATACATATAATATTGCTTTACCATGATTTTTTTAATTTTTTTTTACATAAATGGATGTCATTATCGTTTGTTTAAGCTTTCATATGTTGCGTTTCATTGCCTCTCAATGAGTTTTGGGTGAGCTTGTTTAGTGTTTTTGTATTGTCCAAACTTCAAGTATGCTAAATTAGAACATTCATAAGGTTGTTGGTCTAATATCTGGTTTTGTGTCTGTAGTATATTCATGGTTTAGCTGGCCGAGGAGTTCATTTTTTACATCGGCCAGGGCGAACACTTCAGGATCTTTGTTTCTTTCTTCTTCCCGTAGGAAAAGCTTTTTGGTTTTGTTCTTTGTTTTATCTCTAGCTCATACCAATTATTTGGTGAAATATCTTATTATATCTAGTTTTCGTGTAAATTTAGGAGCTTGGCCAAGATAAAGGCTATATCAGTGAGACATTGTTCAGCTGTGTCTTTTTATCATTTGTATTGGTAAAGTTACTCTTATGTTATTGGCCTTTCTTTCATTACTTTTGTTCAGTTTTTACATTTTGAGTACATCTGTACATGACATGCAGTTCTTTTATTCTGCTCTATTAGCATCTTTTATCTCCATTTTTAACTTATGAATTGCTCTATTTGCGGTGGACTTTCCATCCTTTCATCTTCAATAGCAAAAAGATCTATACAGTTCTAGTTTGATGCAGGGTGCTAGCATTTTTAGTTGTAAGTACAACCAACATATGGCCTTGTTGTAGGACTTGTTTTTTGTAGGTCCTTCTTTCTGTCAAAGTATGCCTATGTATGTAATTGTGACTATTTACATCGGCCAAGGCAACTTTCTTTTGATTTTGTTCTTTGTTATGCAAAATTCCATCATACATATGAGTTCATTTGGGTATAAATATATATTTTCTGTTTTTAAATAATACATTATTGATACAATTTAATTCCTATCTAATTTTATGCACTAACTTTGCAAATTAAAATAATTTGCTACAATATAGGTACGCTACTTTGATAAAAAAAAATATAATTGTTTGTTGCTAATGTCAAACTTTTGCTGCTCTATGCATGAGCTTAATTGGAGAGAATAGTCTTGGGAGTTACATCCAGATTTTTCCTCTTGTTGATTTTTTGTAAGCCAAGCTAGCTGCTGTTTATGAGGCCTGGAAAGATAGGGAAGTTGTTGTTTTGACTCTTGGTGCAGTTGGTGAAGGTTGCATCAATGGTCTCTACCCTCATTTGTCTGAGGTATTTCTTGTTGTTCTGTACTGATGCATGAAGTTGTGAGGCAGATTATGAGGCGAAGAATAATAGTGCATATATAATATTTATCTGTTTTAGTTAAAATCAATTTATGATCCTTAATTTATCATTGTTTCTTTTTTCATTGATTTTTCTTTATTTTGTTTTTCATGCTTTTGAATGAATAGAAAAATTTATTTCTCCAACTTCAAGGTAATAATCTTTGAATCTTTCCGCTGCTTTTGGTTTGTGTTCACTTGTGTTTACTAATGTTAACACATCAAAAGACATGCAGTAAGAGGAATTGATTGCGGATTAAACTTTAGAAAATTTTATCCACAATCCCTAAGCAAAATCATCGGAATATCCACGTGGTGTATTTGCTCTGACAGCAGATCAAATTATCGTTGGGAGGCTTTCGGTCCGTTCTTACCGTCGAAACCTGATGATGACCCGAAAGAAACTCCTATTGATTCATGCCCTTCCATGGTTGATCTCCTACTTCAAGGTAATAATCTCTGAATCTTTTCGCCGATATATTTTTATTTTGTACTCTCAAATTTCATAGATCGTACACAGGATGATCGAAGCTTATTGAGAACAATGATACATGAGTGGATAAATACCCGATGTTTAGAACCGGATTGGGGAACTGTGGAGTTGAAAGAATCTTCAATTGCAAAAACATTATCTATCCTCGATGAAGATGACACTGCCTCTATTGTTACTCCAAGTAAACGCTTCTCTCTTTCACTTTAATTTTTTTGTTTAATGTTTGCTTCAGTTCTCATGCCACCTTCAATCAAGTTTCATACTGTAGGTGGAAGGTCGTTATCTGTTTCAAGTGAAGCACTGAAGCGTGCAAGGATTCTTTTAGGTGAACTAGAGAAAGGGGATTTATTTAGTGAAATGGATAAAGAGCTTCTCCATATACAGTTTACACGAAGAAAAAACTTAACGATCCGATCCGGGATGTCACATTAGGGCCATTGGAGCGACCCACCATAAAAATCTCAAAAAATTTAAAACTTTTATTAAAACATGTAAACTCATAAAATGATTTATGAATACAAAATAAAATTTATCAGTATTCAGAAATAAAACAGATTTTCAGACTCGTATATAAAACATAATACAACCTACATGCCCCCTAATCACATGTACCATACTCTGCAAGCAACGCCGGAAGAATTCCCTTACTGATTTCGATAGATGCACTAATACAATTCTTGTAACCGGAAAAGGTGAGTAACTGAGTGAGCTTTGGGAAGCTCAGTAATACAATACTATCAGTTGATGCTGAAGAACGTGCATATATAGATAGACATGTATTTCCTTATTAGTTCATACATCTACAAATTTTTAGGCTAAGCTGAGGTCCCACTGATATCTCAGGTAGTAACATACAGTAAGATTTTAGTTTAGAAAAATATTTCAGATGACTGAGTTCAGGAGATCAGAATAAGTTATCTAGTGTGTTCCCGTAAACCATTGAAAAGACATATCTTTTTAAAACATATTTTTTTTCAAAAACCATAGTAATCCCTCCAACCAAACACGTCCAAATATGTAGGTTCCCCAGAACCATACACCCAACAGCACAGCCAGTAAGGCCCTGAGCACAAAGCCGAGGAGCCTACAGATATACTTCCTTTAACATTACCCCCCTAAAATAAAACATTTTTCCATTAGTAAACGGAGATATTAGAAATAAAAACATAATTCAGATCAGATATCATATTAGAATTCAGATCAAGTATCAGAACATAATTCAAATAAAAAATCAGATAAAACATTCATGTGATTAGGGAACACACTAGTGTTTCTAGATATTATTAAGAAGAGTGTCAGAAGTTAGAATCACTATTGAAAGAGTTCATTAACTAACAGAATCATCAGTTATTCAGAATGTGATTTATCAAGATTATATCTTATTCGGACATTTTTCGGAAGCTCTACGTAATCATAAGGGTATTCAGAATCCTTTACATCTGAGTTACTTGTGTTTTTAGATATGATCAGAGTGATTTGAGCTGATAACGGAGGACAAAGATTCAGGACCTTTACAATCTATGTCGATTGATCGGATTATCGAACAACTCGAGATGAACAGCTCCCAGAACTAATGTTTGTCGACTGGTCAATTCTTTGACCTTCCAGGAAGTTTACTCTTTAATACAAAAAATTATTGTCCATAGATCAACTTCAGAATCATCTTTGAATAGATCTTCCAATGGTCTTTATTTTATTTCCATGTTTCAACAATATCAGGAAATGCTGACGTACTTGTTTCGTGATTCATGACCCATAAAGACAATACATCATTTAAGTTCATTAGCTTTCCCATACTCATCCAAATCAATTATTTAATCCTCAGTCATTGAGGTTACTTAGTTCAGTTAGCAGTCAAGTCTATCATGGTTACTTCAGAGTTTTCCAGAGTAATTCAGACGTTTCTGAATTTCGGATACATATTATATTTTCTTTTAATTAAATTTGGTATTTATGGTTGATTTATCTAACGAATATTCATTTTTTAGTACCGAATGCGCTCTAGAGTTGAGCTGATATGAGTACTTCCAGAATTATCATCGATCCAAACTTGAGGAGACGAACAAAGATTCAAGTAGTATCTATGTCATTCAGGTACTGATATAGCACTAGTATTGGTTGACCGACTTAATCTGTGTTCTATAACTTTTAATAGAAGTACAACATCCAATCATTCCTAGGCTTGGTGATATTCTTGATTCATTTCCATTCCATGGTTATTTTGGTCATTTTACAGATACAAGGTATTTCAATCATTTTCTTACATCCAGCTCATACCGGTCCAACCGGTCAACCTACTCCTCAGACTGGCAGACAAGGCCCATGCGCATGGGGTGGCACGTGCGACGGCTCTGATCGTCGGTTTGGCATGAAATTTTCCAGACTTGTAGATCGACACCCCATGAGTCTCGTGCAAGTGTTATTTTTCAACGAAATATAACGGATTATAAAATTTTAAAACGTACCAACCCCTCCAACGGTGGTCAGCAAGTGACGACGACGGATCAACAACGACATGATGATTTCGGTTGGGTTTTGAGCGTATGGTGACGGTGAGTCTGATGGTACAGGTGGTGAGATAAACGGGTGGCCGAATCGATCAGAATTGATAAAAACAAATGACTATCGAGTTAAAACCGACAAAGCTTCTGGTTGAGTTTTACGACGAATGGTGCCTATTCACGATAGGATAGAGGTCGGGTTTCGTTCTACGTTCAATGGTGAGTGTATGGGTGGTTTCAGATCGACGAACGGTGGTCAGATGGTGGAGAATTGGGTCTACAAAGTTGGGTCAATGGGGAAGAAAATGGGGGAAAACATCTGGGGAAAACCATATTGTTCGGGGAGGGGTTTTATTTTTCAACTTATAAGAAAAATGGGTAAATTCAGGATCGGGTCCCTGAATTTCTTGCACATTCTAAAACTAACTATAAGTTTCGAAAACTTAAAATTTGACCCCTAAATTAGGGTGTGACAATTCTCCCCTCCTTAAAAGAATTTCATCCTCAAAATTCATTCATGTTACAGAATTACAAAATTAAACTTCCATCAGTTCTTCCATGTCTTCTAGTAGCTTTTACAGTAGTATCAGTCCTCTACTAATCTTTAATCAATTGAGTATACATTTTCTTCATAACTTTTTCTCATTCCAATAAAAGAATCAGAACGAAATTATCCTTGTGGAATCAATTCAACCTTGATTACGAGAATAGGTTCATAGAGCGGTAGCATATCCTAATTTCATTTATGGAGTCAGGTTAGAATTTCTCAGATAAGTAACTCTCACATTACTCGTGAGGTATTTTACAGAATTTAGACAAACGTTACTGGTATTCCTTTATGCAAAGGTAGAGCCCTAACGAATAGAAAACTTAGGTTAGCTCGTTACATAGAAGGACTCAACCTTGAAGTTCCGGCTCAAAGAAGTACGATTGTAGTTTAGGGGCATGTACTGATCAGACATATTTTAACATTCGACCGACCGATCTATCTTGAAAATTTTAAATTAACCTAAGCTCTGATACCACTAAATGTAACCCCCTCAGACCGATGCAGGTGACCTGATCTGATTCGGGTGTCACATTAGGGCCACTGGAGAGACCCACCGTAAAAATCTCAGAAAATTTAAAACTTTTATTAAAACATATAAACTCATAAAATGATTTATGAATATAAAATAAAATTTATCAGTA